TCAGAAGAGATTAGACTCTTAATATAAGTAAGTTAAACTAGACCTCCATCTAAAAATATCAGTCATTTCAGTTATTAAGGGGCTGATGTCTTATTTGGTGAAAGATATATTTTCCTTCATTTCCTTGGTCTTGTAAAATGTAAAGTATGCATTGTGTGTAATACGAGAAATCCACTGAGGTAGATGAAACCTAGATTGTGGCTCCCAGCCTGTCTGCTTGTGCTTTCCCTCTTTGTGTTGCCTGTGTCACAGAGCCTCTTCAGCCCATAGACCTCCTGGCACCAGAGTGAAAAAAAAACCCACCATGCCATTTGTCAGGGTGTGATGCCAGCAACTACCTAATCAGTTTGCAGAATAAGGGCCTTGGGATTTGATTAAGTAATTTAAATACCTAGCTGTAATACCTGAGCTGCTTTTGGCTGGCAGCCCATGATTCCACTTGGTTAACTACCTACCTTATTGTTTTTTTCTATTTTCCAGCTACAAAATGCCTTGGAGATAATTCCCTGCTAAAAATGATTCAAATTTGCAAGCAAAATACTCTTTAGTTTCTATTTTCTTCTCTTTTTTTCTCTCCAAAGTTTAATATGATTATGCCTTTGTAAAGCTGTCTTTTTTTTCTTCTTTCTCTTTGCTCACTCTGCTTTTTCTCTGTGTAAAGCAGTGTTGAATGAGTGGTTATAATTGTATAATTCTGGGCTGTCAAACTCGTGGCCTGCGGGCTGGATGCATCATGCGCTAGCCACGCCCATGCCCAGTTTGGCGAAGGGGGGAAATTTGCAATACGTCACATGACAATGCGAGTTTGACACCCGTGGTATAATTGTTTTGATACTGCTGCAATATAGTTACTTCTAGGAACAATTCAAGTTTCTGTTTTTTAAAGTTTAAATACAGTGATAGAGTGCTTTAGTTTCTGTTTCTGAAAGTTGCATCAGGGTACACAAGGCAGGAATGTAATGCCTCTGTATAGATCTTTAATGCAGCACTGTCTTTTTCCCAAACTGTTCCACGATTCTGTGAGAAGATACAGCTGCTTTAATGAGATGGAGGCAGGTACTATGTTTGTGCTTCTGCGTGTTGTGAAGCATTTGTTTGTAACGGAGTAGAAAGTACTCTGCCAGTCCTGTTTTTAAGGGTTACAGAGCTTCCTTGTAAGCATCCTTACAAAGCTGAGCATCTTCTTCCTATAAAGATTCTTCTTCACCCAAAGAAAATTTACCAGTGTAAGACAATAGCGAGGAATCATATTAGATAAGAATAAATACAGTATAACGGAAGTGCAGACGGGGCAATTAGTTTTTTAAAAATTTACTTTTAAGAAAGAGCAGGTTTACCTTAGGGGGGATTTGATCAATAGATTTTGTTGCAAAGTGCTTTGAATAACTGGAAAAGCAAGAAGTATATAAACATCACCATATAAATTTATTTATTTATTCAATCAAATTTTCCCCATCACAATCAGATTAGTGTCAGTAGTATACATAACTGTTCACATTACAAGCAAGCATTATAACTTAGTTATACTAATAATTATTCATGGATGGATGGATGAATTATTATTCCCCCCCCCCCCCCCCAAACGCATCCTCTAATATCCACAGATGAGAACTGGCTTGATCAGAATAAATTGATTGTATTGTTCCTTGTTTTTAAATGTTTTAACAATTTAAACCATTCAAAGTTGGAGACAGGTGACATTTAATATCCTGTTTCCACGAAAATACAACCTACCCTGAAAGTAAGTCCTAGTTTGATTTTTACACATGTTCCCTATATAAACCCTACCCCCAAAATAAGCCCTAATTAAGATCCCACCCACTCCAGAGTGGATAGGTAAAAATTAAGGGTGGAGATGCAGGGTGGAGTCACCCTACTATTTACCTTTGGGCAGTTGTAGCCAGGCCTCGCATACACCAACACCTGCCAATCTGGAGCTCTTTTATCCGCTGCAGAGACTTTCAGGAAAGCCTTGCCGGCCGCAGAAGAAAAAGTTCCTGAAGGCCTCTGACAGCAAAAAGGAGGCCAAGGGCGATGTGCGCAAGTGAGGTTAGTCAGTGGATGACATCCCCCGAAAATAAGACCTGGTGCCTTTTTTTTGGTGGCAACACAGTAAATTATTATTGTGATTAATATTTATTAACATTGAAGTAGACCTACAGTTTGCATGAAATATGATTCTCCTGATAAAGTTCTAGGTAAATAAGTTGTTTTAATAAGAATATACTGATTTGTGTGAATCTTAATTCCACATCCATTGTGCACAGCTACAGGCTGCCAAGTATTTGAGATTATTTTTAGTTACAATTGAAAATAATGCTTTAGCCGTATTGGCCTGCACAACCATTCTTTAACAGTGAGATGGCTGGATTAACTAAGAAGATAAAAGTGAACATACTAGCTGAAAAAGTTCATCTGGCAAAACTAGCTTGCAAAGATAGCATGTATAGCAGCAGCAGCAACACCCTCTCCCCACAATGCATTTGGGCCTGACTCTGCTGGTGTTTTATAAAGCTTTGAAGACTGAGAGGGTGAGTGAGCCTCTCAGTGGTTTTTTCTTTTACATTGCTTTTAAAAAAATATCTAAAATGGAGAAAAAAGAGTGAACAAACGACTAAAGGATAAATATGGTATTTAAAAGTGGACAGAGGAATTACCAAGATTCTACAGTTAGCGTTCAGTGTATCCTTGATTAGAAATTAGCCTTACAAAACATTAAATTACATCTAAATATATTAAATTATTTACTAACAATTTAAATCTCTGAGCTAAGCGCGAAAACATCCACTGTTTGTTCTTTAAAAAATACAAAAAGAAACCTACTAAAACATTATAGATAAATATTATACTTGAATTGCTAAAATACACGGAGAAGACTTTTTGATAGCCAAAATAAGAGTATGCATGATTATGAAACCCTGTTCAAACGTTGAACAACTTCTTTGGAGTATACAACAATCTATAAAAACATTTATCGTTTACATTGTTGGGATAAAATATTTTCCCCAGCTCTTATAAACAGATATTTTTACCTTTCACACTCCTGAGTATGGACGTAAAGCATTATCTGTCCTCTATTGAATCTGATATGATTTTTTAAAAAAACTTGGTGACTTGAAATACTGGAATTTGAAAAAGCTTATAAAAATGAAAAAAAAAAGATCTTACTTAATAGTTGATTTGAAAATTATTTCACAAGTTAAGCTGATAATACCCACTAACGAGAGCAGCAGCCAATTGTAGTGAGCAGACCAATAATTCCTTATACTGTACTAAGCTTGCTGTATTCACATTTTACATTTTAAATAACTAGTTTTGCCCCTTTTCAAATTAACTCAAAACCAGGGATGGGATCCGACCAGTATAACTACGGGTTTTGTTGGTCTGCGTCGCGCATGCATGCACTTGAGTCACGCGAGTTGCGCGAGTGCAATTTACGACCTGTTGAGCTGCCCGGACAGCTGAGCAGCGCTGCGTGCAAGTGTGCAGCGTTTGAAAAAGGCCCTTTTCATGCTTTTTCAACCACAGCTGTGTCGCGCAAAGTAGCTCCAATTGAAAAGCAGGAAATAAAGGTCAGGTAAGAGCCTGGGTGGGTGGGTGGGCCAAAACAGCAGCAGACATAGAACTGGTTCTATGTATGCTCTCTGTTTGCTGCTTTTCATAGCAACCGGTTCTACAGAAGTGGACAGAACCGGTAGAATCCCACCACTGCTCAAAACCATATCTTAGATGTCCACGTTAAAACTCACTCTATTGACTAGCTATTCAACTTGTCTAATAATGTTGCCTTTTCCTATTGCAAGATCATGCTTGAAAGAGGTGGGAGTTTATTTACATAATAATATTTCATAGGATAGGGGAACTATGAGGAAGTGTTGGATTATATCTGAAAAAATGACTTAAATATTAGGAAGAAAAGGAACTACATTTCTTGTGCTGTTTGCAATAGGCCTTTGTAATATGCTGTACCTACCTCATGGTGGACATATCTTTTCTTGAATATATAAATATATATATATATCCTTGTGCTGAATCAACACAATTAACTGTGAATGGCCCTTTAGTTTGTCTGAAATGGAACAGATCACCTGTGCTTGTAGACGACCTGTCTCCAGTAAATCATAAACATCTCAATCTTATTGTTGGACCATGATATAAGAATCTGTCTCTGTATTTCAATATGAGAGGAGAGAAACTGATTAAGTGTTTGAGATAAGGTTATGTGACACCACAGGTTAGAAATACCTGAGCTGAAATTGGCTTACTGCCTAATACCTACATTTGCAGAATATTCAGCTAGGTAGGACTGAATATGCTTTTAAGGAGATCTCTGCTAGCAACTTGGCCAAACATTGTGGAGCCCTGAATTACTGTTACTGTTTTTGTTTTGATTGAGATTACCCAGGGTCCTCACATATTAATCTCAAATGTAAGTTAAATAAAGACATTTAAAAGAAAGGTTCTTGAGTAATGTATGTTATTTTAATTTTTATTAGCTAATATTCCATTTGAAATTAAAAAAATAATTCTCCTTATTGTCATCACTTAAATATAACCTATCCCATATACAAGGTAGGCAACCTGTATTCAGGAAGTTGACATATTTCTCCTGCAGATTAATGGTAATGGTAGATTTTTCCATTTTCCTGGGTTTTCTGCAGTGCTGTTCTTGCTGTGGAACCCTGCAAACAATCTGGATATGAAGCTCATATCCAAATCACTTCAAGATTTGGAGATGGTTGCTTGGAGATGTTTCCTTTCTAATACTTTTTTTAAATCTTTTCAGATGGGGTGAAGCCAGAAACAAAAGCACTTCTGACTGCCATTTCTAAGAAGAAGCCCAAGGCAGGGAAGGGAGATTCAGCAAAAGAGGATGAAAGTAATAAGGTGGACTCGGCCCATCCTATTCATATCACTCTTCTTTTTAAAAGATATGTCTTTGATTCACGGAAGAAAATGATTCAATCTTGAGCCATGCTTGAAGTCTTAAAGACTGAACACCAAAAAGACTTGATGGCGGGTTCCATACACTGTTCACATTGGTCTTCTCTGGTTCTCTCCCTCTCCCTCTCTCTCCCTCTCCCTCTTTCTCCTCCCCTCCCTGTCATGCTTTCCAGTTCCAGCCTGCTGTGATATAGGTACAGATACATGATACTTTTTTTGCAGATAGTAGAAATGTTTGCATATACAATGTAAATTTTTTCATATTTTTGATAATCAGATATTATAATTGATTAAAGGAAAACTTGATGAAAAGTGAAATGCAAATACATCTGAAATTAAATTGTTTACATTCTTATATGTTCAAGAATACAAATACACTAGTTATAGGGCAGGGATTATTTTGTGAGTGAGGTTTGTATTTTGAGTATTAAAACATCTTCAGGGATATACATAATTTCATGGCATATCATTAACTTTGCTGTTTCATGGTTCATAATGGCTTTCATATAAAATTTTGCTTGTACACCTATCTAAATGTGAAATGAATCTTTTTTTCTCTCTCTCCCATTTCAGAAAAATTCAGAAAACAATAAAATCTGCCTGCTCATTTCCCTGAATAAAATAAATACTATGCAACATCACAAAAAGTCTTCATTTTTATTACCAAAATAACAAATTATTAAAAGTTTTTTTGGTTATTAGTTTTATTTTGGTGAAAAAATAGTAAACTGTATTTATAACACTTATTAAGTCCCAGTTTCAATATTCTTTTTCTCTCCTCATACAAAATCACTCATTCTCTAGCAAAACCAAAAATCATAAGGGTAAACCCCAAATCAACCATATTTAGGGAGTGGAGCAAGGTCGGTATTTCTTTCATGTTTATTTAAGAATCGTTTTACTTGATGAATGGAGATTTGTGACATAGATCTTAAGCAAATTTTCTTTCTAACCATTATTTTGCAAATGAGCATAATGATCATGATGTGTTATTCAGGAAACAAATTCCCAATTTTCCCCCCCTCTGTGCCTGGCACCAATAAACATATAAAATTTCCTAGGAGTAATAAAGACAGTTTCAGAATGTTTGTAGGGTTGCTATTTATTGTGACTTTTTTCTGAGGGCTTTTTGGGAGGGAGGGGAGCAATGTATAGAGTGGTCTTTTTACCATTTTTACTCCACCTTTTATTCCAAAGGTCACAATCCCTAACATTATATAAGGAATTGTCATAAGTTGACTGGACTGTTTCAAAAAGTAAAGTAAGGTAAATAAGTAAATAAAATATTAATAGAGATAAGGATGAATTTCAGACAAAAGCAAGAGAGTACTCGTGAATCTTAAGAGCTATTATATTTTTAATTGCTCTTACATCAGGGCTGCCAAACTCATGGCCTGTGGGCCGGATGCGTCATGTGCTGCCCACGCCCACCCGATTTAGCGAAGGGGGTAAAAACTGCGATACATCATATGATGTTAGTGTGACTCGAGTTTGACACCTCTGCTCTACATAATGAAAGACTTGGTACGGAGACCTATAGGAAAAAAAAATCTAGAAATAAGGATTTCCCTATTGTAGCCTTGTCGCATGACAGATTTGCTTGGGTTGGATTCCTTTAAAGCAGTGAGTACCTTTAAAGAATTTCCTAGAGCTTGAGTTGATAAACTTGGGTGCTTTCTACTTGAAACTTTACAACTCGTAGGATTACGGGCTATACTTTCAGGATAATCTATAAGTTATTCAACATTTAGTTATTGAATGAGTAACTTCCGCTATTCAGATGTACAGAAAAAAAGTTGTAGAGGAAAATAGGCATTTTATTTTCACGTCAAAAGTTTTCCTAGCAATCTTCATTGTTTGCTAGGTGATCCAGATGGGATTATGATTATAATTTCCATCACCCCACGACTTCTAATCTTTTTTTTTTCAAAATGCATAAATAGTCTTTGTAATAGAGTTTTCATACATGCATATCCCTGAACATAGAGAAGTGAGCATGTGCATGTGTTGTCAATAATACCTGCAACCCTTTTTTCACGCCAGTATCTTTATTTACATATTAAAGTGGTCCTTGATTTATGACCACAAATAAGCCCAAAATTCCTGTTGCTAAGCAAGAGCGTTATTAAGTGAGCTTTCCCCCATTTTATGACCTTTGTTCCCACAGTTCTTAAAGGAATCACTGCAGTTGTTAAGTTAGTAACGTGGTTATTAAGTGAATCTGGCTTCTCCATTGACTTTGTTTGACAGAAGATCACAAAAAGCATGATCCCAGGGCATTGCAACCGTCATAAACATGAGTTAGTTGCCAAGCATCTGGCTTTCGATCACGTGACCCATGGAGATGCTTCCCACAGTCATAAGTGTGAAAATAGTCATAAATCACTTTTTTCAGTGCCATTGTAACTTTGAATAATCACTAAACAACCTTCTTGTAAGTTGAGGACTACCTGTATTTCATTATATGTTGCTCAGAGAACATATGTTGGTGGGTGGCAAAATATATCTTTTCAAACATGTTCTGGGGCAACAATGGTTTAAATCACCAGCTCACTTAATGTAAGTCTCTGACTGTGGAAATCCTTATGCAACTGTAGCCTAGTTGTGGAAAATAGTCGCTAATCTACCTGGCAATTATAAAATAAGGATAGAAGGAACTGAAAAGAATCAGGTATTCCAGGTGCAGATTCCAAAATAAATAGTAGCATAAAATGTGTAACATAAATGAGCTGAGCTGAATGTGAACTCTGGACATCCAGCCTTTACTTATAATTAGTGTGTTACACTCTACTGACCCCCAGTGTTTCATTAAAACTGATCTCACTACTACAATCTCAGTTATTATTTACAATTTATTTGCTTAGTATGTTTTACAGCACTTCCAATGTACGAATAATAGAAAAACAATTACAGAATTGCTCAGAGAGATGGTGGACAGCTCTTCCTGGAATGTGTTCAAATGGAAACTGTCAGGAACCTTCCATTTTAATTCTTGTTTAGCAGTCCCTTCAAGTGTAGGAGAGAGAAGGTCTCACACGTGTATATTCATCCATAACATTCATACAAAAATGACAATAGGGAGAGGTAAATTTTCAGTATAAATCTGAATAATAGGTGCTTGATTTGCCATTCAGAGCCCTAAAAAGCAAACCACATAAAAATATAAAAGTAGCCTGTTTTTTCATTTACTGTTCACCATCCAGCAAAGTAGATATGAAGCTGTTAGCTCCAATTGTTTATAAATGTTGGAGATTTGAATTCAGCAGAAGCTCTTGTTAAAAGATGTGCTCTTGAACATAAGAAGAGTGATGGAAAAAAAAACACTGAGCAATTAAATTGCAGTATTAGAGGAACTTTAGATAATGTCGTTTCTCTGTTCAATTATATCATTTTATCCATCTGAACAAGTTCCATCATTTTCACCATCCGTTGCTCTATTTCAGGTTCAGCTACTCCATCAAGAAAGCTAAATTGTTTTGCAAGATATTTCTTTTCTTACTGCTATATTGGCTTTCAAAGTCCAAGAGCAAAAGGTCTAAAGTTTACATTCCCCTTATTTTTACACATGTTTAAAAGTGGACCAGTTCTAGAGAAACTCACCACAGCCAACTTGCCACAGGACAAATCAACATGGCCAACTCTCTTCACAGGACAGCTTGCTGTGCGACAAATCAACAATTCAATTTTATTATTTAAAATAATTTAAAAAATATTTTAATTTTTGTCATCCACATTTCATTTTGTCCCTCCTTTCTTTAAAGATTCTATTCCATCATTTTTTCGATATTAGTGTAACTCTTGTCCCACAGTGAGTTGCCATGTGGTGAGTTGGCCTCAGGAAGTCAAATGTACTATATTTAACTGTGCATATGAATGCAGGTTAAAATAGTTAATTCAGGTTTGTTGCCTTTCGTTTTATAGCATATGATGCCTCATTTTGTGCTGAAGCTACTGTATAAGATGCTTATCTTATACTTTAACCTTTTGTTCTATTTCCCCTACTTTTTTTCCTTGCTTTCATCACACTCCTTTGCTCCTCTAGATGATCTGGGATTTAATAATTGCTGCTTTGTTTGCCTCTTTTTGGAAACTACTACTAATACTAATGAAGATCCGCAACTGACAACGTTTAAAACACCATATTTTGTACTATGGTGCAAACTTCTGAAAAAAAAGGCATTTTAGGCATCTTTCTATTTATTATTTGTAGTGTCTCCCTATCTAATCTCATTTAGAATGGACTGTGGGCAACAGGAATAGTTCCAGACAAACAGTATACCTTAAGTTACCTTAAAAATACATCTTTGCTTTTGAATTCTCTCAGTATTTCACTATGAACTCTGAATAAAGGAGAGGAAGCCGTTTCTCTCTTCCCCCACAAGCCCCCCCTGCCCCCATCTACAGTAGTTAATTCTGAAAGAAAAACAGAAGTGCACCCAGGAACTTTGATTACAATGTACTATTACCCTGATCTCTGGCTACTGTCCTGAGGCTGTTGGATATACATTCAGAAAATAAGTGAAATGGTGGAACCAAATGATTACAAGAAAATCAAAGCTTTTAAAGACATTTGTAGAATGAACAGATGTTCAAATGTTCTTTTATTTGGGCTCCAGACAGACGCAGCTGAGATTTTGCTTTCATCCTGGTAATCGATGCATTATGGTGTAATTTGTAAAAATGGCATTAAAAATATTAACAGGGTCATATTGTGATCTACTGACTCTGTTTCATTAAGCCGTGAAGCTCCAGAATGGCAGCAAGGGAAAGGATTAAATGTTGTGGAACATGTCGTACCGCTAGCATCTGCTGCAGGAGACAATACCCGTAATTACTGCAAAAGTAAAAGGTTTGAAGCAGATACTGAGCAAAGCCAGAAAATGAGAAATTGATGCCGATATCCAGGGCTTAATGCAGGATCTTGGTTGGAGAGGGTGGTGCCTGTTGAATGGGGTCTGGTGGGGTGACCCTGAGGGCACAGACTCCAAGCGCCCTCAATGACTCTCTAAAAAACAGAGCTGTCAAACTCCCGGTCCAAGGGCCAAATGCCTCATGTGCTGGCCATGCACATACCCGGTTTAGCGAAGGGAGAAAAGTCCCAATATGTCACGTGACACCACTGTGACAACGTGAGTTTGAGATCCCTGCTCTAAAAAAAATGTAAATGACCAGCTGTCTGCAAGGAGTATAAATCCTTCCTTCCCCACCATCCAGTCAGAGCTGAAGAAGCGTCTTGGATGAGAAGCAAAACATCTTCAAAGAAAAATGTTGCCTCTTGAAAAAAGCACCTTTGGGAAAACCAGGACCTGGATGTCTGAGAATCTCCACAGATTTCTAGGAAGGGAGTTTCTCCCCTCTGGTGGAATTTATTTCGGCGTCATTTAGATCTTGATCCCAAAGAGTTCTGTGGCCAGCTCTCTTTCTCCCAGTTGGCTGATGGCAATCGTGGTAATCACATTTAAGCTGGAGCTACAGTTAGTTGTGTTTGAAACACTCGGTAATTTTCAGCTCTTTTAACAACACAGCCAAGAACATCCTTTGCTTTGCCACAGCTTTACCAGTGAAGCATTGGGGCTGAAAGTAAATCCAAACCCTGCCATATTGTGGCCTTTTATGCCCAGCTCCTTCAGTTTAAATATTTAACAGCAAGTCTGTTGCCAGAGTTGCTTCCCTATCTAGAAGCCCTTCAAGATCCCCAAAGGGCAAATTGTTCTCATATCAGCTGAAAGTGTAATACAGTTTAGATCAAAGGATAGGAAATGGCAGTTCCCTTCTGCCCAGGCAAGATGCTTCTTCCATATTTGAGCCACCATAGTTGCACTTGGAAAACAAGATGTGATTAATATGGTGCCTCGGGCACTGCGTTCGTAACAAAACCCTAGTCTTGGGTGGTACTTGTGAGAGAAAAGGGCAGGCTGGGGTGGTCAGGTGTTGGTTATCCCTGACAGTGCTATGAGAGCAGACTCCTAATTGCCACTCTTTAAAGCCATTTGGAAGGGGGTGTATGAGCTGAAGTGGCTATTTGAAGGGTTCTGAGCACAGAGCTACACACTTCGGGTTCCAAAATGTTCTCCACATCTAGGAAAATGGAGGATTTCAAAATGTGCTGCTGTTCTAGCATGTCTCAACCGCTGCCTTGTTTTTTAATTTCTCCAAGCCTGAATGTGTGTACAGTGTATTTGTCACAGGTGTATAGTTAGCTCCAAAGACTTGGATTTAAGAGAGATTTGCCATACAGAAACAGCTGTATTGCAATTTATGCACAGTGAAAGCAGAAGCTGCATTCAGTTATTATTGCATTTTGTTCTTGTATACCCGCTGCAAACACACACACACACACACACACACCACCTTCCTCCACCTTATTAAAAAGTGGTTCCTCTTATCCACCAACCCCTCAAATTAAATACAAGAAAAACCACACCTTCGTTTCCAAAATGTGTAACTGATTTATTTATGTTAAATTATTGCTTCCTCTGGTACATTGTTTTCTAGCTTTTTAGACCTCCCCCCACATCTAAAAAAACCCCAAAATAAATAAATGAAAAAATATTGTCCCTCCAATCAAAATTAATTTATTTGCATAAAAATGTCATCCTCTTTGCTGTGGAGCAAACTCTTTAATATAAATAAAGCAAGCATGGGGCTTGGTGGTTGTTCTAAGGTGGAGGGTAATTGGGATTCTCATTTTCATGTTCTCTTCCATGTGGAATATGACTGCTACATTTGGGTAGCAACCATCCAAATAAACACTCTTAATTTATTTATTTACAGTAAATGTTTCTCCTTCCCAAACAATCAATAGATAATGAAATCACTACTCCAAGAATTAAACTCTGAGGTGTAATAAACAGATCCCAGCAACACAAGGAACATTCCCACATCTCTTGGGAATTTATCCTAGTCTATAACAGAGCAGGCATCCACATTTTATCAAGCAGAAGAGATGTAAATTTGGAATCTCTAGGCAAGAACCATCAATCAATCCCAATCCTGAACAGAAACTTTTCTTGATATGCTCATGCAGTGCCAGAAAAATGTAGACTGGGGACAAGGAAATGTCGAAGAACTTGCCCCTAAACTATGGGCCTACAGTAATGGGCCAATAAAAGAGCAAGGAAAGATTCTATTCTTCTTGTAATTCTTGATGGGGCTGAAGGAAAATCACTTGTTCAAAGAATGGGAACTATGTAGGAGATAAGAAAAATGCTGACAGATATGTTTATAGTCTTTTAAAAACATCTTTACCAAAGGAAAGTTAAGAATTCATGAGTCATAACAGAACATTTGCATGTATTCCCTCATCTCTTTTCTTTTCAGGTAAGTTACTCAATGCAGAAATATGCACTGTGCATATATGGTTGTCAAATGCAAGCAAACAAACAAACAAGAGGTTTTTTTTTTCAAAATATAAGCAGAACCAAGTACAAAAAATAATGTTGCAAGCATTATGCATTAGGAAAAAGCCTCAAACTGATGGAGAAGTTTTCGCAATTTATCAATTTTCCATGGGGCATGCTGATGTGAATACACTATTAACCTCTTTATTGTTTTTAATGCCATATGTATTATTATTGTATAACAACAACAACATCTAGACAACCCCTGACCTGTTGGTCTCCATTTCAGAGATATTTCCTGACCTAAACAGATAAATAGAATGATCATGGGTGGGCAAAAAGAGGAATGGGAGCAACTACCAATTTCCTGCTAGCTTCCTCACTGACTTTTCTTGTAACAAGCTGGCAGGGAGTGTTCGAAATGATGATCACATGACCATAGCTGACTGCAGTGATATGGCAATGTGGATAGCACTAAACGGCCACAACTTTGCCAAATTTCAATCTCATGGGAATCAAGAATCCAGGGTGCATTCTGTAAGTTAGCCCATTTGATTCAGAAATTGTTGCCCTGTGACACATCATTTTTCCCAACTGAAGTTACAAACAAGCAACCAGATGAATTTTAATAGTATATAGATTTATTTACAGTTGTATATTACCTAACTCTCAATATCTTTGGGCAACCCTTGACAATAATGGTACTGAACATGTTTAAAAATCTTCCTCTTACTTCGTACAAAGAAAACTTATATAAAATGGTTCATCATTGGCATCTACCTCCAGCGAGATTAGCCAAGATGTTGCCTAATATGACACCGAACTGCTGGAAGTGCAACTACATTCAGGGAACATACTTCCATATGTGGTGGACTTGTCCATGTGCACAGAAGTTTTGGCAAAAAATTAGAACTTGGATATTAGAAATAATGAAACAAGAACTAAAACTTGAACCTGAAATCTTTTTATTAGGCACGATAGAACCAAAAATGAAAAAGAAACACCAATACCTGATTCTGCACATCATAATTGCAACCAGAATAAGTTTTGCCCAAAATTGGAAATTGGCTATGACCCCCCCCCCCCCAGAAAATATGGTAATCAAAAATATGGTAATCAGTTTTTTCCTTCAGCTTTCAACAACTACTTCTCATTTTATGCACTCCCTGCTATTAACTGCATGCATATTTCTGCATTTATACAGAAATGCAGTACTCACACACCCCTCCAAATTCTAGAATGCTTGGATTCCAAATAAATCTTCACTGAGGAATTAACACATTGTTGGTTATCACTTGGTATTTTTCTTTGTGTTCCTTTTATTTTTGTTCTCTTCTTCTTTGTCTTCTTTGTCAACAATTTTACTTGATTGCAGGTTCAAAGAGAAAAAACACAAAATTGAATTAGATTGTGTAGATGGGGATATCTTGAACAGTAAAACTGTTGTGCAATGGTAATAATAGGGTTTTTGGAGTGGTTTCATCTGGACACCTTTAATCACAGCATCCAACCCACTTTTGAGCCATCTGAAAATTCCCAGTATATGAATAATGAACATGCAGAAAAAAAAATCTCATTCTAACAGATACATGTTTTTCGGGGGGGGGGGGGATAGGTATGGTTCATAAACATTTCTTGATGCAAGGTTTTTCTTTTGATCAAATAGCTGAAAAAATTACTGATGTCCATTCATTATCTCAAATTCAGGTGTCATTTAAGGAATGAATTGTTCTTAGGTTGTGGGGTGTTTTTTGTTTTTTTTTTGCTTTTATATTCTTAAATGCCACCTCTTGATTACTCTGGGAAGTAAATGCTTCTCTGTTCTTGGTGACCCCACAAGTTGTTCACTTCTATAGTGTGTTATTGGGTGAAAAAGGAGATAGAGAAAGACCATCCAGTTTGTTCATGATCCTATATCAATGTGCAACATGAGTCTATAGATTAGGAGAAAGGTCACATCTCCATCCCCTTTCCTTCTCTCTCCCCCTCCCACTCTCCCTGCCTCTTATTTTGGCAGGTATTATCTATAATTACTATATGCCTCTTCCATCCATATAGATACACTTGGGACCCAGTGGCTTATAATCAGTAGTTCACCAGCATAGATATATTCTCCTCATGATTTGAAATAATTCAAACATAGACATTTATAACTAAACCAGAAAACTATTATTATTTGGTAGATATACTGCCTTTCCTCCAGGAGCTTGAAGCAGTTTCTATGGGGACCTCCCTCCATTTTATCCATACGACAGCACTCCTGTGAGGTAGCTTGGGCTGAGAGGGAGTGACCAGTGAGTTACCTTGCCTAAGAATGGACTTGAGTTTTGAGCCTTCCCAGTCCTAAGGTAACATCTAAGCTGCACACCACACTGATGTACAAAAAATTGGGGGACTGAACTTGCCAGGTACCTTTTTGATAGGTTCTTAAAGACCAACTTCCCCTCTTCCCAAAAGCTTTAGTTCAGCATTGCGAAGGGTGACTCTTTTTCCAAAGAAGGACCAGACTGCATTCTCCCACATGAATTTTGACTTGTATTAATTAGTCAGTACAATTTTTCCTACTCCAAAATTTCACAATTTCAGATAATTGTTCATGATGATTGCTAGTTTTCCTCTTTTGAAATGGAAAAATTTTATTTTAAAAATTATTATAATAGATTATGATGCAAATACTATTCGTGAAGTTTCCATTTAATGCATAAGCTAGGATGATTTTCCCCCTTTTGCCAATATTTCTATTCCTTGAGCATGAGCCATATATGCTGAAGTTGTGAATGTAAAGCACAGTTGATATTTGTCTAGTTAGAAGAGGAGTTATGTCCTGGGGATTATACTGAACAACGCACTTACCCATCTTTGAGAGAAATGGAGCTCATGTCATGTCACTATTTCTCTGTTTCTCTCTTTTCTACAGTACAATTAAAAAACGTTGAAGAGTCTGTATTTACAAAAAAATGGATTAAACTGAGCACAGTAATCCTGTACATTAGAAACTCTAGGTGTTATATTCTTTCTCTTGGAGGCACCATCTTAAGTATTTGGTATTATTTGCTTGAAATGCTTGAGTGCAAGATTGAAATGAAGGAGAAGAAACGTTTCTATTCATAAAGCAAATAATGGCAACTATTCTTTCAAATAAGTGCATAGAGGGCATGTAACCAAACATCAGATGCCAATATTTATATCAATATGAATATTGATTATTTTAAACAATATAAGCATTGGTGCATTTATCCATGCTATTAATACACACACGCACACACACGTTTTCCCGAAAATATGGCTTACTCAGAAAGTAAATCCTAGCTTGATTTTTACACATGCTCCCAATATAGTGTAAGTCTTTACCCCCAAATTAGCCCTAATTAAGACCCCACCCACTCCAGGGTGCAGGGGTAAAAATTAAGTTAGGGTGGAAATGGGGAGTGGGGGGTGGAACTGCCCTACTACTTACCTTCAAATAGTTTTAGCCAGGCCTTGCACACTCCGGCCTGTTTCTTCTGCAGACAGCAGGGCTTTCCTGAAGGCCTCTCTAGCCAATAACAGAGCTCCAGAACAATCTGGAGCTCTGTTATTGGCTACAGAGACCTTCAGGAAAATCTTGCTGGCTGCAGAAAAAATGGGCCGAGTTGTAGGAGGCCTGGCTGCAACTATCCCAAGCCGAAGAAGTTCCTGAAGGCCTCTGACAATGAAAAGGAGGCCGGTGCGATACGCGCAACTGAGGTGAGTCAGTGGACGACATCCCACCCCCGGAAAATAAGACCTGGTGCCTTTATATATAATTTCTGAATTGCCCATCTGTCTCAAAGGGAATTCTTAAAATAATGCTCAATCTTTGGAACATCACATTTTGTGATCCCAGTTTAGGGAAAATCTTTGTAGTATGATTTCCTGTCGTAATACTTATATTTAAAAAAAACCAGGAAAAATGAATGGCACATATTAGCAAATCTATGCAATCTATGAGGTAATTGTATTGAATCACTAATATTTGCCTGTGTTCTGGAAACATTGGGAACCACTGACAAGCTTCAAAATGAAAAAGGAAGACCTTGAATGCATGCAACTTCTCTTGAATTGGCTTATCAAAAGAGAAACAAACCAGACTTTCCTATCCATGCCTATGTCAAATGCTGGAGAAACCAGGAGATTCAGGCAGTTCAAATGAGTATAAAGATTTATTGCAAGCTTAAGCTCTCTATAACATCTGAACTACTAGCGGTCAAGGGAAATGAATGGGAATTAACAAGGCATTCAAGGTGGGAAGGGCTTCAATCTCTTGCAAGAGCGAAGGGACTCATGACTGATGATACTTTGATTCCTCCCTTGGGCTCAGCCTGGCCATCTCCTACAGTTTAAGTGAAGGGCAGTTTGAGCAAACTTGATGTGTTTGATTGCTCCTTTCTAGAAAAAGCCAACCAGGAGCAGGGATTATGAAGTAACTTCATAGTCCATGATAAAGTCAGAATTCTCTAGATATCTGACTTAATTGTTGCATTTGAAGACATAAATGTCATTCTGAGAAACTCTGTGTGTGTGTGTGTGTGTGTGAGAGAGAGAGAGAGAGAGAGAGAGAGAGAGGAGGAGGAGGAGGATAATTGTTATCATGATCTCATTCTTGATCAAAAATGTGGGGAGACTGAAAAAAATCTGTCTGACAAATCTTGTCAGTAGATGCCTGGCTAGATTACTCTCTCTCTCTCTCTCTCTCTCTCTCTCTCTCTCTCTCTCTAACTGACTACTAATGGTTAGCCAATGAAAACTAGAAGTGAGGGCAAGATGTCTGGTGTCCAGGTTTTGTTTCTGATTGATTTGATGTGTGGTTGAGTTGTTTTTAGGCAGCGTGAAAGAGGAGGCTTTATGAGATACCTTGCCCTCTGACAAAAGAGATTTGTTCAGAAAGCACTATCTGTCTCATGTTACTGAAATGGGTACCAGGAGTGGGAGGCACAGTAGCTTTGTCCAGAATCATTTACTTCAAATGCTAACACAGCATGCTCTTTGAAAAAGCAACAAAGACTTCCTCAGTTGGTACATAAAGCTTGCTAATTTACAGCATTAGTTTTGCTGGCTAGTTCTCTTTCTTTAATTAGCAATTTTAATCAGGACATGCTGTGTATTAAGATGTTGGAACTGTAGTGATGGAAGGATCATCTCTCTGTCTCTCCAGGCCTGCCCCTTCACTGGGCTTTGGCATGCCCCTTCTACCTGTGGGCATCTTTCATTCTCTCTGCCAGATCATCTATTCTCTGAATAAGGCATACAAATCTCTTCCAGCTTGATTAGTGGATTTTAGATTAGAAGCAAGAGAGTTTTATTTCTGTTTCGTATTATTTTTATTACTTGAAGTTAGCATACATCGGATGAAAATGAACACATGAGCCTTTGTTACATGGCACATCAATCTGAAAACATAGACAATTAATACAAATTGTCCAGAATGCTGGGCACATTGACTAGCCCATCAAAATCTAGTTTCCAAGGCCTATATGAGAATGACAACTTAAGCAACATTTATTTGTTAAAACACATTTATGTGGCTGTTCAACTCTCACACGGTGACTCTAGCTGGTTTACACCATTAAAATTCTGCAATATAACCCCACTCCCCTAAACCCAAACATTATGGCAATTTAAGCAAGACTTTTTGTACATTGATCGTTTCCCCCAGAATAGTCTCCACATTTGTTTATTTAATTTATTGCAGTAGTTATAAGCTCTCATAAGAAGATGTAGAACAATTGAATGTGATGAATCACACATGAAGCATCAAAGCCATAGGAACATGGCAGACAAAGGAAACTCAGAGGCTCAAAAACCATAAGGCATCACCACTGTTAAAGAAAATAAGGTACATTAATATAAGGTATGCATATAATTCTGTAAGAAGGGACTTTCATATACCTTACATCGGTATGTAGCCAGAAGGGCCCTGGTTGCAGTGAGAGTTAGCTTTGGGGCCATTTAGATTAAGGAAGTTCTGCTTGCTGTCCTTGGAAACTGGCGCCATATGTTTCCCGTGGTTCTTCCTAGTAAGGCAGAAATGAGAGCTACAAACCTTTGTTTTCTTTGGTCATGTTATATAAAAGTGTCATTTATAAAGACCAAAGAAAACAGCAACTCTTGCCATCTCCCATTTTATTCTTTACTAGGAAAGACTGATTAATGAGAAATTGGAAAGTTAGAAACTGCAAAGCTAGCAAGCTGAGGTCAAATTCTTACATCTTTGTCTTCCCTTGTTGCCTGGGACGGTGGGCTTTTTCTGTGCAAATGACTAAAATTCCATCACTGGGATCTGCCTTGGCATCATAATGGGAGAAAGCTTTATTTCTACAGCAGAAAGTGATTAGCTGATGTATAAGTTTAGGCCATTAATTTATGATGAGAAAAGAGTTGATATTTAGAAATAGAACAGCGGTGGGATTCAAAATATTTTACTACCGGTTCTGTGGGCGTGGCTTGGTGGGCGTGGCAGGGAAGGATACTGCAAAATCTCCAGTCAGAGGTGGTATTTGCCGGTTCTCCGAAATACTCAAAATTTCTGCTACTGGTTCTCCAGAACTGGTCAGAACCTGCTGAATACCCACCTCTGAGAATAGAATAACAGAGTTGGAAGGGACCTTGGAGGTCTTCTAGCCCATCCCTCTGTTCAAACAGGAAAGCCTATACCTAAATGTATGTTACCTGGTTAGTAATTGTAGCTTCTCAAAATTTGGGATTATTCCACTTATGAAAATGCCTACTAAACCCTTGAAAAGACCAAATTCAAATCCCATCACCTTCATTTTACCCCTAGTCAAACCTGCAGTGTAAATTCATTCTTAATTATTCCAGTTTTAATATAATGTTTTTTCCCTCTCTCAACACAAGCCTTGCCATATGAATGATGTGCATTTCCTCATTGGCAATGTGGGTGGCCATGTTGTCAGGGGCTGGAATCTGTCTAGCTGTTTTTGGCTACTTGAAGTATTGCAGACATGCCCCCATTCTGCTAGCTACTGGGCATTGTCTTCCATAGAAATTTTGGGACTGCTGGAGAGACCCAATCTCTGATTCCTGCAGAGGGCTAAATCTGTATTTTAAACATGAGCCCCTGTCCTGCATAGATATATGATTTAAAATAAGAAAGACAGCTGGATTCTGCCAGCTCTATGTTGATTATTCTGTCCCAAATAAATGCACTACACTTCCTTAGCTATGGTGATGCAGTGGTTAGAATGCAGCATTGCAGGCTAATTCTGCCAACTGCTAACAGTTCAATCCTGACCAGGTCAAGTTTGACGCAGCCTTCCATCCTTCCAAGATCAGTAAAATGAGATTGTTGGGGGCAATATGCTGACTCTGCAAATGGCTTAGGGAGGGCTGTAAACTGTATATAAGTCTAAGTGCTATTGCTATTATCTACTTCTGTTGACAAGGGAATTCCTACATTACATCTATGTTTATAATACTTTGTGGAGAGATAATTTGCCTACTATTACACATTTTACTTGATCCATTTGCTACTTTCGGGTGCTGCTAGCCACAGCCACATACTGCAATGGTTAGTCCTCAGACTGTTGAGAATTCAAGCGGCAGCCCATCTTTTTTTTAATCAGTGAAGAGATTCACCAATTCGTAGGTTCATAGAAAAGCAGTAAAAAAGATAGAGAGGAAAATAGTATCAGGCTAAGGCCAAGAATTCTGAAAAGCAATTCAACCAGAGTTAGTTCGTTATGATTATACACAACAGACAGAATCTTGCTAGACTAAACCCTTACTACTCTCACTGTAGTGGATTTTCCTTGGGAGATTCTAGGAAGTGGGTATTTAAATTTTCTTTCTCTATCTCCTATCCATCTCTGGATTGTGTTACTTCTTATCCCCCCTCCCATTTTCTGGAATGTGCTCCCTGTCAACTCTGAAGCATCGTGTGCTGCCTCATAGTTGCCACGAACTCCAGGAGGGGGAAATAGATAAGCTGGCTAATAGTCAAAACAAAAATTTTTCTTGTGGGGACCAAGGTCATCCCAACAGATGGCAGTTGAAGGAGGAGAGGAGGGACCAAGCAGCCTGCTAGCTGCTTTCATTGGACAATGTGACTGGTGACAACTGGGGAGGGAAATATTTGCTCTTTTAATTAGGGGGAAAACCATGGGGCCGTTTAGAGTTGGTTTTCACTAGATGTGCCGATATGATGTATCCGATAAACATTTTCCTTACACTTCCTTATCTGCCTGCCTTGGAGTTCTGCTTTTGGTGAATGTGTTACTCGGAGCGCTGACAATTCCCTTTTCCTGGGAAACTGCTGCTTCAGTCCATAAAACCAGCTTCCCTTCATGGGCACCAGCTCTCTCAAACAATATCTTAGCACATTAAAGACATTGTCAGTCCTATGATAAATATTGCAGTTGCTGAAATTCTGATCTCATCCCTTCCTTTAAAAAAATCCTTACAAAATGGACTCTGTGAGTATTGTGCTTGGTAAAGGAATTAAAGCAGGCACCACCATTCCAGACAGCCCTTACAAACTTGCAAATATATGAGAGAGGGACTAAAACTGGGAGTCCGGTCTGTTTTACTTTTTATCCTGAAGATAGGTCAAAAGCAATATGGAGGGGCACAGGATGAGTGGGAAATGGATTGTCCTGTGAACCTCATCACCCCTTAGGTTACTTGCACTGGGACAGCTTGTAGGCAACCTCCCACAATGGCCCAATGGCCCCTCCGCACTTTAAAGACAATAACTGGGGATGGTTTCTCCTTCCAGCAGTGCTGGGTAGGTAAAGAAAGGCAGTCAGGGAAATCTGCAACTATTGCCTAAAGTTTCCCTTTATATGAAAATGATAAAGGAAGCCTCCTCCTCCTCTGGCAAAATAAGCAATGGCAAGGAAGGTTGGTGCTTTTCTGCTGGTTCATGGACTGGAAAGATGCATGTGTCTTAAAGTGCCTGTGAGAAAGAGTTTCTCTCATTCCCTTTCTGTGGTCAGGCAACTGTAAAAGACTCCACTAGACCTCACGGATGATGATGATATGCTAGGAGGTTTTGCTAAAGTTTATGTTTCTATTAAATATTGTATAACTTTTTTTTTTCATTTTTCCCTTGTCATGTGATGCTGGTTGAGGAGCTCCAGGGAAAGATACTTTTTGAGAATGGGAGTTAGCCCTCCCAGTGCTCCATCTCTCCATTTCTGTCCTCTTATCCCTCCTTTTGCCACACCTTTTCTCTTTTCCCCATTTACCATTGCTGATTATTTTTAGAAGTATGATACCAAGATCAGGATCAGTAGTGGTCAACAAATTCTAGCAGCACTACTGCACGGGAAGTCACAAGATAATAATTATTTTGTTTCCACAGTAATTTCAATAAACAGCAAACAAAAAATTTCACAGTATTCAAATAAGGTTCAACAACCTTATTTAAAATTTATCAATAAGAGGTTGAATGTTGGGTTCATACCTACTATTCTAAGCACATTCCTCTCCATGCAATGATAATATTTAAAGGGTTTGTCCAATTATTTTTACATCTTACATACAAGTTCATTTTAATGGCTGTTCTGACTGAAAAATCTCGGCAGGATATGCTATCCAAGATTTGGAAAATAGCCATATAATCCTGCCTCTTTTTTATGAAACCCATAAGCTGGAAAGCCATTTCTCAAAGCAGGAATTAGCCTGGCTATATTTTATACATCAGCTAACAAATGAGAAGAAAATCTGAGCAATCTTTAGGGACCAGAGTTTGTT